GTGGGGTGGCGGCTGGGGACGGCGGGAGGTTTTCCCCGCTGATCCACAACAAGGTGGCTGCTGGAGGAAAAGGGAAGTTTTTTTCCTTCTCTCAAATTGTACCATGTTAAATTCATTTTACGACGTGTTACATAAAATTGTGCCGTAATTCTTCAATCGTGCTATACCCAAATCATGCCAAATAAACTCGTGCTAAATGACGGTCTACTGTATATACGGCCGAAACAGCCAAAGGGTTAATCAGTGATCTACTGTACTTTGAGGGGAACAATTTCAACTAGGTGATTAGATAAGCCTATACATTTTTTTTCACAGAAGTTTAGGAACTTTTTGACAGCATTTGATATATGGCAATGGTGCTTTTGCCTAAAGAAAGAAATGCACAAGAATGATGGAGAAAAAATATGATAGTTCTTCTATCTGGGGCAAACCTAAAGAGTAAATATCTTGGTTCACCCCTCTTCAAAAATGAGTGAAAGATTGTTCACCACTACCACAATGAGGGACATCCCTTCAACAGTGTAACACCAGCAATGAGGGAGATCTCTCCTCCAACAATTATAGTGTGATATCAAACCTAGCAAAACTATCAACACTCTTAATAGAGCCTCACATTCAGTATCCATCTGAAAGCTACATCCACTGTACAATCATTGTACTAAATGTGTAAATTTTCTAGCTTAATTCTTACCCAAAACACAACACACACAAGAAAGCTTCTCAAATATCAAGTGTAACGAATTTAAGAAGCCACATGCTGTCAATATAAAGATAACCACATTTATAAATGCTTAAAAAACTCTGAAAAGCTTAAAAATCAATGCTTTAACTGAAAAAATGCCTTTTTATTTTTGCATGGGGAAGCCCCAGGGTGCCCATTGGAAATGTCATGCCTCATTCACACGATGACTCACCTCCGGCCCCAGCAGGGTTCATCACACGCCTTAAGCTCAGTAAGAGGCCCCCTTTACCACCGCTCACTTAGGCAGTTTGCTTGTTATGCCAGGCATCAGGTGGAAGGTTGGTGAAGGCCCAAGCCACAGTCAGCATCTTATAGACAACAGCTGGGGAAGGCGGTGAATCCGTGGGCCCCCCAGGGCCCGATGCAGAAATGTATTTTTCTAATTAAAACGTTTTCTGCTGTGGGAGCCCCGGGAGGCCCACCTGGAATCATACCACCAGTACCCTGGAATGGAGGAGGTAGCTATAGAGCGGTAGTGCACTCACAGGAGGCTGGCAGGGACGACACGCATACCAACTGGCTAGACAGCTGCCACACATTGACTAGTGACAACTGGGACACACAAGCCACCAAGGACATGCAGTCTGCATCGCCCTAAGACAGGCATGTATCGCAAGCCATGACCAACAGGTCCCAGGCCTGGGAGATAAGGATAACGTGCCACCATAAAGTCAGGTGAGAGCCGAGGATGAGGAAGCCACTCTGACAAAGTGCCAGGACTGGAGAGTCCAGGGACCAAAGTGAATAGCCAGCCAGATGGTGACATGGGACAACAAGTGCCTACCTACAAGTAGGACAAAAATCACATTGGGCATTCATGAAGGATTGGTGTAAGGAAGTCTTGCATCAAATTTCCCAAGCCTAGAGAAACAATGCTGTCAAATATAGAAACAAGAGCAAGTACTAACCCAGGATTCTGAGGAGCGAAAAGCATTTGCTCAAGGCAAAAAGAGACCTAAACCAAATGACAGCAATATCTGGAAGTGCAGTAGGAAGACCCTACAACAGAAAAAAAAAAAAACGAAGGTGTGGTAAACCAAGGATCCCTCCGCAGTCCTAGTGCAAGACAGAACTTAGCACAGATGTAGGGTGAGGACATCCAGGCAACATTCAAAGATCACAGAGGTAGCTGGGCCACCTTGCAGTTCAGTAGCCTGACTACCAGCAACAAGTGAGGGGATACCAGGCAAGGGCCTTGGAAGGACCAGAGCCCAAAAACAGACAAGGCATACAGAGAGGAGACCCCTGTCAAAACTGAAAATGGGGATAAGGAACAGTAGCAGGGCCTTAACCCTTTGAGGGTCGACAGGCCCTCTCCGAAACTCGTTCTCAGGGTCGGCCAAATTTAAAAAAAAAAAAAATTATTTTCTCTTATGAAAAGATAGAGAATTTTTTTCCCGATCATAAAGACACCAAAAGTTTGGAATTTGATAGAAAACGTACGGAATTATGCTCTCGCAAAGTTAGCGGTCTCGGCGAAGTTTACGCATCGGCGATTTTGCCCACTTTGGGACCCCCCTTTTTTCGGCCAATTTCACTGTACTAGTTGACAAAAAACATGAATATTCCGCTAGAATTTCCATTTTTTCTATCGAAAAGGGTGCAAGAAACCACTCTTTTAATGAAATACAACTATCCAGTACAGTGGTCAGAATTTAGCAATTTTGCCAATTTCACACAAATTTAAAAAGATGCCAATTTCCGAATAGGGTCCAGAATAAAAAGAAAGACATTCCTGGCACTAAAATGACATTTCCTCTAGTCATTAGTCACGTCTCAAGGCCCCTCTTATATTCTTTTGCTTTCCAGTTTGAATTTTTTATTTTTACAAAAAATATAAGATTTACTCTCATGCAGACTACTGCATTAGGTAAAAAATGGTATAAATATTATTGGTGCACTTTTGAAAGAATATTAGACTCACCAGTTGACTGTATTGCACGCTTGGCAAATTTGTTTTCTTTGAAGTTTGGTAAAAATCGAACATTTCTGCTACTTGAGCTCAATTTCAAGGCACCTTTCTTTGTAAAACCAGTCAAAATCATCTCAATTTCTGTAATATGTCTTCCATTTTATAAATGAGACCAAAAAAACTAGAATACAACAATAAATACCATACGAAAATACACTGCAAAGTTTGCGAATTTATTAAAAAAAAATGGGCAAAGTTTTTTTTTCTCATTATGCACTGTGTGCTGCAGGATTTTTTTTAGACTGTGCACACTGACCACATAGACCCATTCTTTCATATAAAGGCCTACCAGCTTTCTCCCACTAGATTTGAGGCCGCTAGAATTTATGAGTACTAGTACGTCAAAAACCCCTACGCGTAAGACGTACTAGTACGACGAAAACCCTCAAAGGGTTAAAGGTATGGGTGGTCAGATGTCCCACAAAAGGAGCTGGGACACTTATAGGTCCCAGGTGCCAAGCAAGGTACAAATCCAGGCCACAGAGGACCAGTTGAAAGGCAGAGCATCCCTAAGGTCCCCTGGAGACCACAGAAGACAGAACTCTCATCCTCCTGATGAGCACAGACAGTTATCTGAGACCTACAACACATGATGGGGTGCCAACAGACAGGGGCCCACATCACACAAGACCCCATGACACAATGACAAACTAGCCTGGCAGGGTGTAGATGAGACAGAATAGATCATAGGGCCATTACAAGGCAAGTGGGACAAACAGAGAAAATAGGCATCTTGAACCAGGATGTAGATAGCAGAAAGTTGAAAATACAGCCTACAAGCAGTACAAGGGCCTGGAAAACTTGGACACTAGCCAAGGAATAGCCTACAGACAAGGAGTGAGGTGTAAATGCTACAACACAAGCATGACAACTGAAGCTTAAAGCTTCACCAAGTTCCCAGCTAACATAGACCATAAGCAGATTACCTAAACAAGCAATAATGAAGATGGTTCCACACTGAGTACAAGGCCTGTGAAAGACCCCTGGCTGTGATTGCAGAGGTGAGACTTGGTGTGAACAAGGCATGATATATTTAAGGTGGGCTTCCAGGGTCCTCCTAGCAGGAAATAAGTTACAGATAAATGAATGAAAATAAGAAAGTGCATGTAGTACCTGTCTTGCTAGGGCTGCTATGCCATCTGCAGTTTTTTCTGGTTATATTCTTAATGTGTGCGATAAACATGAAGCAAATGACAGGAATCGCTGCTGAAGAACTCGGCAAAATGAGCATCAATACTAAATTTTCAAGATAAAGATGATTTCATAAAACTTACACCTGAGGACTAAAAGGCTACAAATGTGTACAACACATTTCATTTAAATTATTGTATTATTATTATAATGCTCATGAAGAAACACTAGACCCAGGAGTCATACAGTGCCTGGGGAAGTGGAGTGGTGAGATTTGATCTGAAAAAGTGGAAGCTGACTTAATTTATTGGATCATGAGCCCTTTAAAAGCAACAAGGCACCCATTTGATCCAAAGGCATTAACTCATCATATTCCAAAAGCACAGGCACTGCATATTAATCTAAGAGCACAAATAACCACAAGTACCAGACAATATACACTCAGAGATGGGACTATAATATACACTCAGAGGTGGGATTATATACAATGAGAAAGGAAAGATAGAAGATAGAGGAAAAGATGGAAGGAAAGACAGAGAGAAAAAGAAGGAAAAGATAGGGGAAAGGATAGAAGGAATGATAGAGGGAAATAGATAGAGGAAAAGATTGAGAACGAGAGTGAAGGAAAGACAGAAGCTAGAAGGAAATGGATATAGGGGGAGAGAGAAGGAATGACAAAAGTGAAAGAGGAAAAAATGGAGAAGACAGAGAGAGACAGAGAGGGGGGAGAGAGAGAGAGGGGGGAGAGAGAGAGAGGGGGAGAGAGAGAGGGGGGGGAGAGAGGGGGGAGAGAGAGAGGGGGGAGAGAGAGAGGGGGGAGAGAGAGAGGGGGGAGAGAGAGAGGGGGGAGAGAGGGAAGACACAGAGGGAGATAGACAGAAGGAAAGACAGAGAAAAGATAGAAGGAAAGGGGGGCAAGAGATTAAAGGAAAGACAAAGGAAAAAGATAGAGAGAGGGAAGAGAGTATGGTAAATGAGAGGTAGAGAGAGAGATGACAGAAAAAATGGGTAAAGAGAGGGAAAGACGGACAGACAGACACACGCATGCACACACAAACACGCACTGCACATACACGCGCACACGTGAGCGCACACACACACATACTGACCTCCATATCAAAACTTTGTGAAATGTAATCAATTTTTTTTACTTACCTGTAAAGGTGAGGCCTTCAATGTGTGCATACATGAAAGAATGTGTAATGAATGTGACATAATGGTTGTAGAAACGCATAATGAAATGCAAATTTTGGCAATCAAATGAATGGGTGACAGTAAACTATGAGAAGGTGAAGTGGTCTAACTACTGGGTTGCTCATTCTCAGTGGTTGTAAATAAATGGCTCAGAGAACCGACACGTTGATAAATTAGACACACGTGCAACACTTGGGTATTTTTATTGAGGAAACGTTTCACCACACTGACTTCATCAGTCATATACAAAGAAGAATGGTGAAGATCAGGAGTTTAAGGTAATATGTCCCTAGAGACTAGGGACTTATCACCTAACCCTAGAGACTAGGGACTTATTACCTTAAACTCTTTTTGATCCTCACCATTCTTCTTTGTATTGGACTGATGAAGCCAGTGTGTGGCAAAACATTTCCACAATAAAGATACCCAAGTGCTGCACATGTGTCTAATTTATCATTCCCAGTGGTCAGTATAACAGCTCAGGACTGCACTATTAACCATAACAAAATATTATAATGAAGTAGCAGTCTTTAATTCTATTGTCCAGTACTGTAAGGCAGCTGTACACAAATAACTCTTTACCAACAACAGTAAAGAGACACTGTCCAACAAGTTTATATTGGGACAAGTCTTGGGAAACAATTGAACCGCTGTGCTAATAAAAGCTTGATTTGGCATGTGTCTTGTATAAGACAAAAGGAAACTGTCACCAACACAACTACTTACACAGACACTCCAAGAAAACAATGCCAAAACAAACATCTCTAAATCTATTACAAAAAAAAAAAAAAAAAAAAAAAAAAAAAAAAAAAAAAAAAAAAAAGAAGCTTCAGTCACATGCATAAAGTTGAAGCAGAAAACAACAAAAATAATACACTAAATTAGGAAGATACATGTATAAGTACTACAGTGGAACCCTGGATTTCATCCGGTGCGGATATCGTAAAATTTGGATTTCGACCAATTTTTTGGGTGAAATTTTATCCCAGGTTTCATACCTCCACTTGGAAATCGTCTGTATCAGAAGTGTCCACCCACCTGGGATGTGGCCCCCTCACACGTATGTAACTCAGTCTGCCTCTGTCACTTGTTCAGTGAGCAATACTCTGCACATTCATCCGAAACATTGGTGGTAGAGGGTGATAGTGATGGTGGTAGAAGGTGGTAGTGGTTGTGATGTTGGTAGAGGGTGGTAGTGGTTGTGATGTTGGTAGAGGGTGGTAGTGATGGTGGTAGAGAGTAGTTGTGGTTGTGATGGTGGTAGAGGGTGGTAGTGGTTATGGTGGTGGTAGAGGGTGGTAGTGATGGTGGTAAAGGGTGGTAGTGAGAGTGGTAGAGGGTGGTTGTTATTGTGATGGTGGTAGAGGGTGGTTGTTATTGTGATGTGTAGGTGTGTTTGTGAGGTAGAGGGTGGTTGTTATTGTGATGGTGGTAGAGGGTGGCAGTGATGGTGGTAGTGATGGTGGTAGAGGGTGGTAGTGGTTGTGATGGTGGTAGTGATGGCAAACAATCGAAGATGTTGAGAAGTTGCTGTTGGTGTGGATCAACGACAAACAGTTAGCAGGAGATATTGTTGTGGAGGCAATAATTTGCAAAAAGGCAAGGCAGTTGCATGACAATCTCGTAAAGAATATGCCAACAAGAGTCTTCAATAAGAAAAAAGTGATTTAAATGTTCATTTATCCATTAAAATTAGTGCTTTATTTTTATTTCTCATTGTATTCTGTATGTAAACCTATAGTTATTCTCTAAAAAATGTATTTTTTTTTTTAACATTTTTGAGTGTGTAGATGGATTAATTGGCTTTACATTACTTCTTATGGGAAATATTACTTCAGTTTTCGTCCATTTTGGATTTGGACCGACCTTCTGGAAAAGATTAAGGACGAAAACTGGGGTTCCACTGTACTACATCACTGTTGTGACCACCACCTTCCTGTACCACCACCCTATCTGTACCACCACCCTCACACTGTACCACCACCCTTACTGTACCACCACCCTCACACTGTACCACCACCCTCACACTGTACCACCACCCTTACACTGTACCACCACCCTTACTGTACCACCACCCTTACTGTACCACCACCCTCACTGTACCACCACCCTTACTGTACCATCACCCTTACTGTACCACCCCATTACTGTACCACCACCCTCACACTGTCCCATCACCCTTACTGTACCATCACCCTTACTGTACCACCCCCCTTACTGTACCATCACCCTTACTGTACCACCACCTTACTGTACCATCACCCTTACTGTACCACCACCCTTACTGTACCACCACCCTTACTGTACCACCACCCTTACTGTACCACCACCCTTACTGTACCATCACCTTACTGTACACCCCCCTCACACTGTACCACCACCCTCACTATGCTACCACCCTCACACTGTACCACCACCCTCACTGCACCACCACCCTAACACTACCACCACCTCACACTGTACCACCCCCCTCACTATGCTACCACCCTCACACTGTACCACCACCCTTACTGTACCACCTCCCTCACACTGTACAACCACCCCTCACACTGTCCCACCACCCTCACACTGCACAACCATCTTCACACTGTACCACTACCCTCACACTGTACCAATACCCTCACACTGTACCACCACCCTCACATTGTACCACCACCCTCAAACTGTACCACCACCCTCACTGTACTACCACCCTCACTGTACCACCACCCTCACATTGTACCACCACCCTTACTGCACCATCACCCTCACAGTGTACCACCACCCTCACACTGAACCACTACCCTCACATAGTATCACCAGCCTCACATTGTACCACCACCCTCACACTGTACCACCACCCTCACATTGCACCACTACCCTCACACTGTACCACCACCCCTCACACTGTACCACCACCACTCACATTGTACCACCACCCTCACACTATACTACCACCCTCACACTGTACCACCAACCTCACTATACCACCACCCTTACTGCCCCACCACCCTCACTGTACCACTACCCTCACTATGCTACCACCCTCACACTGTCCCACCACCCATTACTGTACCACCACCCTCACTGCACCACCACCCTCACACTGTACCACCACCCTCACTCTACCACCACCCCCATTATGCTACCACCCTCACACTGTACCACCTCCCTCACACTGTTCAACCACCCCTCACACTGTACCACCTCCCTCACACTGTTCAACCACCCCTCACACTGTACCACCACCCTCACATTGTAGCACTACCCCTCACACTGTACTACCACCCTCACATTGTACCACCCCTCACACTGTACCACCACCCTCACACTGTACAACCATCCTCACACTGTACCACCACCCTTACTGTACCATCACCCTCACACTGTACCACCACCCTCACACTGTACCACCACCCTCACACTGTACCATCACCCTCGCACTGTACTACCACCCCTCACTGTATCACCACCCTCACTGTACCACCCCCTCACACTGTACCAATACCCCTCACTGTACCACCACCCCTCACTGTACCACCACCCTTACACTGTACCACCACCCTCACACTGTACCACCACCCTTGTGGAGAAATTTTCTCCAGGAAGGGGGTATTGGCACATATATTAACTCAAGGGACCACTGTAATTATAAATCAGGTAGGGTGATCTGAAAAAGAAGAAAGACTTTCACCATCATTCACTCTCGCCGTCTTAACGGAGGCATGCTTATATTACAGTTCAAATATCCCTCCAAACTATGAACATTCCCGTCCATCCAGCATGAAATGCCTTTTTTTTTATTAAAAAAACAAAAAAACAAAACTACAACGTATCCCCACCCCTCCTTCAGAATGCAGGCACTGTACTTCCCACCTTCAGCACTCAAGTCCAGCTAACCAGTTTCCCTGAATCCCTTCATAAATGTTATTTTACTTACACTCCAACAGCACGTCAAGTCGTAAAAAACCCTTGTCCCCACTCATTCCTATCTAACAAGCTCACATATGCTTGTGTAAGTCTAAGCCCCTCACACACAAAACCTGTATCCCTCCCTCCAACCTTTCCTAGGACAACCTCTACCCCACCTTCCCTGTACTACAGATTTTTACACCCTCCAAGTCATTCTGTTTTGTTCCTTCCTCTCTAAATGTCCAAACCATCTCAACAACCCCTCCCCAGTCCTCTGGATAATACTTTTAGAAACACCACACCTTCTTCTAATCTCCAAGCTACAAATTCTTCCAGCCTTCTCCTCGTTGCAATATTCACCACCCATGATCATACCCACATAAGAGCATTGGTACCACTATATTCTCATATGTTCCCCTCTTTGATTCCATGGATAGTGTTCTTTGTCTCCAAAGACTCCTCAGTGCACCACTCGCCTTCCTCTCATCAATTCTATGGTTCACCTCGTCTTTCATAGATCCATCTGTTGACAAGTCCATTCCCTAATATCTGAACACATTCACTTCCACCTACTCTCTCCCTCCAATCTGATATCCAATCTTTCATTACCTGAATTTTTTGTTATCCTCAATCACCTTGCTCTTTCCTATGATCACTTTTAATTTCCTTCTTTTTACATATCATTCCAAATTCATCCATCAACCTCAGCAACTTCTCCATCACTGACTGGCTGACTTTCCAGAAGTGCATGACATCACAATTCACATGAACTTGCCACTGTACCTCCCATCTTCGAAACTCAAGTTCTACTAACCCATTCCTCTGTATCTTTTTATAAATATTACCTTGGTTACCTTGCTCACACTCCAACAGCACATCAAATGCCCCTCCCCCCCCAAAAAAAAATCAATCAATACACTTTCTTCCACTAACATGGTCGTATGTGCCTCCTTCCAAATCTTCCTGGGAGGTTCCCTACTATACCATCTGTTCGTGCACTTGGCCAAACTATTTTATTCTATTGTCTCAATGAGCAAACCCTTTTAACAGTCCATCCTCTGCTCAGTTACACTTTTGCACCATCA